GGGCTTTGCAAGCTGGGATCTGCTGGTGGCACCGACTTCAGCATGAAGCAGTTTGCCGAGGGCTCCACCATGAAGCTGGCCAAGCAGTGCCGCAAGTGAGCAGGGCTGGGTGCTGGGGGGAGCAGGCAAGGAGCCCCACAGATGGGCACCCCATGGCCAGGCACCCTGCAGCCAGGCTCAGGGACCACTCTCCCAGGTGGCTCTGCAACGAGGCAATCGATGCGGGCACACGGCGCTGGGCCGTGGAGGGCCTGGCCTACCTCACCTTCGATGCAGATGTCAAGGAGGAGTTTGTGGAGGACAAAGCAGCGATGCAGGCCATGTTCCACCTGGCCAAGGTGTGTGCCCAGTGTTGTAGGGTGAGCACGCTGGCACCAGGGAAATGTGCCAGGGAAAGGGGGTGTGGGGCTTACGCTGCAGGGTGGGGTGTGTGGAAGGTGCTGGGTGGGCTCCAGATCTGGCTGTCCCTTCCCACCATGGGTGTGACAGGTACCTGTTGTCCCTGCAGTCGGACGACAGGAGTGTGCTCTACGCTGTTGCCTCCACACTGGTGAACTGCACCAACAGCTATGACCATGAGGAGCCGGACCCACAAATGCTGGAGCTGGCCAAGTATGCCAAGCAGCACATCCCGGAGCAGCACCCCAAGGTGAGCAGGGCATGGCTGTGCATATGGGTGGGACAGAGCTCGGGGTCCTGAGCAGGGACAGGGTGTCCCTGGGGCCCTCAAGAATGGGGTCAGGCACCTCACCAGTGGTGACCCCACCGATGGGACAGGACAAGCCAGAGTTCGTGAAGCGGCGTGTGCGGAAGCTGCTGACGGCCGGCGTGGTGTCGGCTCTGGCCTGCATGGTGAAAAGTGACAACCCAGCGCTCACCAACTCCTGCCGAGAGCTGATCTCCAGGTACAGATGTGCCAGGGGCAGGAGGGAGATGGGTTCCCACGCTGCCAGCATCCTACTGGTGAACTTAGGTGCTTGTGGTGAGTGCTGGCTCCTGGACAGTAATGGGGATGCCCAGGAGCCTGGTGCAGCCTAGGCCCACTGCAGTTGTCCAGGTGCTCCAGCTGTTCCCACTTTGTCCTTAGAGTGTTCCTGGCACTGGTGGAGGAGGCAGAGGAACGAGGTAGCGTGGTTGCGCAGGGAGGAGGCAAGGTGAGGGGACGGACCCTGCTGTGCTGCTGCCCTGTCCCACTCCAGGGGGCTCTGGGGGTCTGTGGTTTGACAGGGTCCACACTGACTCCACCATACATGAAGCTGGGAGAAGCTGTGGCTACTGTGGCATGGCCACAAGATGAGCTGCTGTCTCTGCTCACAGGCTCTGATCCCTCTGTCCCTGGAGGGCACCGAGGTGGGGCAGACCAAGGCAGCACAGGCCCTGGCAAAGATCACCATCACCTCCAACCCAGAGATGGTGTTCCCTGGGGAGCGAGTGAGTGCTGCTCTTGGAGGCTGGGGGTTCGGGTCTGCCAAGCAGGGGCTCATGTGGGAGCAGCAGTGGGCACTGACTTGGTCCCATGTGTGCTGTCTCCACAGATCTACGAGGTGGTACGGCCCCTGGTCAGCCTCCTGCATCTGCAGCGCACAAGCCTGGAGAACTTTGAGGGGCTGATGGCCTTAACCAACCTGGCTGGCATCAGTGAGAGGCTGCGGTAGGGATGAGGGGAGATGGGGGCTGGCTGTCCCCTCAGGCCTGGCAGGTGGCTGTGGACAGGAAGTGCTCACCAACAGCCCCCAACAGGCAGAAAATCCTGAAGGAGCGAGCTGTGCCCATGATCGAGGGATACATGTTTGAGGAGCACGAGCTGATCCGGCTGGCTGCGACCGAGTGCATGTGCAACATGGCCATGAGCAAGGAGGTGAGGACCAGGCTGGGCTGGGGTCTGCACTGGGCTGCTGGACCCCCAGACCCAAAGCCAAACCCCTCCTCCTCCTGTGCAGGTACAGGAGCTGTTCCTGACTGAGAGCAGCGACCGGCTGAAGCTGATGGTCCTGTACAGTGGGGAGGAAGATGAGAAGCTGCGGCGGGCGGCCTCAGGGACCCTGGCCATACTGACCGCCCTGCATCCCCCCATCTGCAAGCGGATCCCCGAGGTGGTGAGTGCCCAGGAGTGGGGTAGGGGCACCTGGGACCCCCTGGGAGAGCACCATATTCGTATGGGAGTGTCCCATATTCCCTCCCCGTGGTGGTCTGCAGCTGTCCCCCAGGAGACAGGGCAACCTGTGCTGACCTCAACCCGCCTCTGAGCTGGGGCTATTGGGGGGATCTGGCGCCCTTCCCTCGGGGAGCC